TGGTTGTCATCTCCCTCTGTACAACAGCAACAGGCTGAGCCGTGTGACCGTGTGCGTGAGCAGAGACTGGCACGTCCCTGCGGGGCAGGAGGTCAGTTCTGGAGAGCTCGTGGCCTCACAGTGGCTCTGCACCCTCTTCCATCTGAGCAGTCATCACTTGGAGCACTCAGCTAGCTGTGAGGTGCCCAGGGAGAGGCAAGACTCGAGGCCACTCTTGGTTTGAAGAGGCAGGAGACCAAGACCTTCTCTGCTTTGGAGTTTAGTGAGGGGAATGTCCTGCCCCTGAGCACTGTCTGCGTGCAGTGCTGCCCTGTCCCATGTTGAGGACCTGCAGATCCTCTTCTCTGGGTCACTGTGCAGAACCCTTGGTCCTGCTGGGTGGCAAGCTAAACAAGATGTTAAACACGTTACCTCCAGCTTTGAGGTCATTGTAGCTTAATGCTAACTAAACCCATCAAGCCTGTCTGACAGTCAGTTCAGGCTTGAGGACATGTATATTTTATGACCAGAAGATGATTAACAAGTGAGCTGCCATCTCTGGCTGGTCCAGTTACAACACGAGTTAAGATGGGAAGATGCCAAAAACTAATCCCAGAAAGAAGAAAGATGTTTGTGATGACAGGAGGGCCACAGGTGGAACCCTGCAACCTCCCCACCAAATGTAGTCAGGGAGAAAGGGTTTCAGGCCCTGCTGATCTCCTAAGTCTGGCTGTTGGTCCAGAGGTTATTTTGTCCAGAGGTTACTTTGTCCAGAGATATTTTGTCCTCTGGTAAAGTAGCACTGGAGGAAAGCTCCTGCCAGCTAAAAGACTTCCTGTGGTTTGCCTGTCCACTGTGACATGGCTTAACTGGGCTGGACTGGAGGAGTTGGGGGTGGCTATTTTTTTGTGACCAGTCTGCAGAGAGAAATTGCTTCTGGATGGAGAGAGTGTGTTGGAAACATCTCGTTATCAGAGAGCAAGGGAAGAGGTGGGGGATCAAAATGTCAGGTCATCCCCAGGCCTGGGCTTGGTGGCTGTGAGAGGGTCTCACGTGGGGTTGCTGTGTGGGTCCTTGCTGGGATCAGGCCCCTGTGGGACAGCACAGGTGAGGTGCTCATGGTGCTCCTGAGCACTCAGCTGAGATGGCCTTGGGTTGCACCCAGGGAGGTTTAGATTGGATGTTGGGAAGAATTTCTTCCCTGAAAGGGCTGTCAGGCTGCCCAGGGCAGTGGTGGAGTCACCATCCCTGGAGGTATTTAACAGTCATAGAGAGGTACTACTTTAGTTGAGGACTTGTTGGTGTTGGTTGAGGGTTGGACTCGGTGATCCTGAAGGTCTTTTCCAGCCAAGGTGTTTCTGTGATTCCATGTGTGTGAGATTGATCCCTCCTGCCTGCCCTGGGTGGGCTTCCCAGATGGGTACCTTGGTCTGGGGCCACACTGCTTCAGGGGGGCTGTTGCTATCCTGACAACTGACCCTCAGAGGAAGTTCAGTCCGTTTTCTTAATATGATTTGGAAACATTTTCTCCAGCTGAAGTGGTGAACACGAGGTGATACCCTGCCCTGCTGTGCTTCTGTGGAGCCCCTCGCTGAGGCCGGGAGAGAAAAGCCTGGTCTGCCACTCACAAGGCTGCAGAGGGTGTTTTGGTGATGTGTATCGTGTTGTGTCAGTGACTCCAACTGGATGGTTGCCCTTGACTGTAAAAAAAGACCCAAAGACCATGTGGGCACCTGAGTGCACAAAGCAGCTGTGAGGCTTTGAGCAGACACGTGGAGATGTGCCCGACCGGTCACTGTGGGAGCAGATAATCCCAGATGATGCCTTTGTCTTGGAGTCATTCTGAAGTTGGCCACACAAGACCATCCCAGAGTGGGGTGTAGATGTGGGTGGGAAGGAAGGCAGGTAGTTTGAGGGAGAAATGCTGCTGTTTGGAGCTGTGCACTTCTGTAAACCGGTAGTGATTGACTTTTCTCCTGGTGTCAGTATCTCTGACTCCCAGAGGAGTCCCCATCTCCCTGCCAGGTGCCTTGGAGAGAGCTGGGATGTTTCCTGCTCCCACTGCTGGCAGGAGCACAGGGAGGGGCAGCCACAAGCTGCTGGGAGTGTGAATTGCTTGGAGGCTACCTGAAGTCCTGGCTGCCATCAGTTACAGCCTCAGCTCAGAAGGAAAGGGAAGGGAATGAGAGGGGCCTCAGCATCCAAAGGGCTGCCTGCTGGTGAGGAGGGCCTGGATGCATTTAGAGAGGAAAGAAAGAGGGGGAAGTGTCATGCTGGAAGGCTGCAGATGGGAAAGGAGGGAAGCTATGTTGAAGAAAACTGCACTCCAGAACCTCGAACATGCAAAGTCATGGGCTATCAAAACATGACTTGAGCAGCTTTTTTTCTGGAGTTTTGCCTGCTGAAAATAGAGAGTTGTGCTTAGGTGGAGAGGGGAAGAACTGGTGCATCAGCAGGCAGAGTCCATCTGGCTGTACAGCTGGTGTCCAAGTGGTCACTGAGTGCTGGGGAGCTGGAGCAGGGGGTTGCTTCTCACAGCCTGAAATCCTGAGGGCAGAGCTGTGGTTCAGGCCAGGGGGGTTCTGTTCAGCCTGGGAAGAGGAGGCTGAGGGGAGACCTCCTTGCTCTCTACACCTACCTGAGAGGAGGTTGTAGGGAGGTGGGTGGTGTTGGCTTTTCTCCCTAGTGACCAGCAAGAGGGCAAGAGAAGATGGGGTGGGGGAAGTTTGGATTGGATATGAGGAAAAATTCCTTCACAGAAGGAGTGGGGAGGCCTTGGAACAGGCTGCCCAGGGAGGTGTTCAAGACTGGGGGGATGTGGTGCCTTGGGAGATGGTTTAGTGGTCAGGGGTTGTAGGGCTGGTGGTTGGACTTGATGATTTTGAGGGTCTTCTCCACCCTTAATGATTGTGTGATTCCTCTGCTCCCAGCTTATGCCACTGAGCTGTTCCCATGGAAAAGGAGGAATCCTCCCTGCCTGACCTGGACCATGTTTGCTATTTATTGCTTTTCCTGGCTGCTGCTTCCACATGCTGAGTTCCTGCTGAACATTCTTTTCTTCCAGCAAAACTGCTTCCTCCAGCTACTCACTCCCAATTGACTCTTCCCCACAGGGAGCTGTAACTGGGGCCCACAGGGCAGCAGAGCCTGAGATCCCCCTTAACCCTGGTGTTTCAAACCTGATCAAAGCAAATGGAGCTCTTCTCTCTGCTTCTGCAAGTGATGCATGGTTGTAACAAATCATTGCCTTAAAAAGAAGCAATGAGCCTTCCTACATTCCATGTTAACCTTTGCTCACTAAACCACTTTCTTTTTCAGCTGTGTTTTGTGCTTGGTTGTGCACGAGGAAAGGCTTTTTCTTCCCTTTTCTCCAAGTGCAACTGCTGCAGGGCTTTTGCAAGGGAGATTTTTCAAGAAAGGAGTCTAAAATCCACATTTTTTTTTTACTTTCCTGTGATAACTCAGTTATTCTGTGGAAGATAAGAGGAACCAGCCTGTGCCTGTGAGGGCCTGGAGCCAGCAGGCAACCCACTGCCATCCTTCACCTCCAGGCACTGCAGGTCTTTGCCCTCCAGGATTCCCTTCCAGCAGCAGACTCCAGCTGTGCTCCCAGCTGGATTAGAGCTCTGAACAGGCAGTTTTGTCTGCTCATCCTTTCACAGGCACTTAGAATCCAGGTGTCTGGTAGTGCATTTCTTACCAGCAGGGTGCTGCTTCTCACTGAGGGCAACTATCCTGAGCACGGGCTAATTCTCACAAAACTTGGGTTCAGGGCTGGCAGGACACTCGTTATTTGCTCAGTTACTCTGACATAATTAAAGCTGTTCTGCTCTCTATTTGGAGGCTCTGGGCTGGGCTGGACCCTTTGCCTGGAATAACAGTTGGTGGGTAGAGACAGGTACCTTCCTCCCTCTGGGTCCCTGAGGCAACAAAGAGCCTGTGGTTTGTGTCTGCAGTGTATTCCCACTAGTCTCGTGTTTCTTTCCTGGTCATTTCAGGATGTGTTTAAGCAATTTTTGCAGTAACTCATTTTATGCTACCAGAACATTGGTCAGCAGCCACTTTTCAGACCCATTTTGCAAACAGACCACAGGGTGTGTGGAGTGTCTGCTGAGCAGGCAGAGCAGCAGGCAGGGTCACAGGAGGGAAACAAACGAAGCTGGAGGGTGACTGGAAACATACCCTCCTAGCCAGTCCCATTCTGAGGCTTCACCCTGTTTGTCTCTAATGATACCCTGGTTTCCCACTGGTAGCAGCATGGAGCCATGCACTGTCCTGGCCTTTACCCCCTGGGGAAAGAGATGAGCTTGGGGTCACTACTCTTGTCTCCTTTCTCTGGGTTACATGGTTGCAGTTGGGGAGCACCAAGCTCTTCACCTTCCTTTGGTTTCTGCTGTCTTTCAAAGACCTTAAAGCTGAGGAAGGAGAGTGCCTGGTCACTAGAACTTCCTCCTTCACTACCCCAGCCCTGCCTCTTAAAACTCTGCCCAAGCTCCCTGTTGTGCAGTTTTGCCCAGTGTCTTTCACTCAGATTCCCATCTGAGGGGAACTCCTCCATCAGTCTGGGCACACGTGGACCCCACTCTGCTGTGGTGCAAGTAGTCACTGTGAAGTTGTTCTTCTGTGCTGGAGCAATCAGGACCAATAATGCCTTCGTGTCTGTGTTCAGAGATGTGGGTTTCTTTCCTCTGTAGCTCTGATGCCACCATGAGACTGGTGAAGGAGCAGTGACAGGCTTGGGCTGGAGGATCAGCTGCATCAGACACCTTGGGGTACAGAGCTTTTCAGACCAGGAGTCAGAGGCAGGAGAAAGGCTGTGAGCAGGCAAGTGTGAAGCTTCACAGACTGTCCGTGCTAGCCCTGGGATGTCCTGAGATTGGGTTGGGTTTTTTTCAATACAGAAGGAGCTGCACAGGAGAGCAGGTGTGTGTGTTGTGGGCTGGACAGAGCTGGCCTCACATCCTCCTGGCAGGAACTGCAGAGCCTCTCGTTTTCACCCAGTGCTGCTGTTGTTGTTGCAGATTGATGTCCTCAAGGCAGATGTGGAGAGCGCAGAGTGGAAGATTTTGGAAAACCTGATCCTGGAAGATGTTGTTGAGCAGATAGGACAGCTGGTCTTCCAGGTGCACATCCACTGGCCTGGGTTTGAGGTCAGTGGCAACGACAGCACCGTGGTGCGGTACTGGTACAGCCTGCTCCGGGAGCTGGAGCTGAAGGACTTCAGGCTTTTCCATACCTACAAAGACTTATCAAAACCACAGGTGTTTCTGAAAAAGGAAGCCTTCAATGCCAGTAGCTGTTACACACTGAGCTGGGTAAACACAAGATGGAAACAGCAGGAAGGAACTGATGCTGTGTGACTGGGACTGCGGGCTGCGGCGCCACTGGCTGGAGCTGCTGATGAGCACGCAAAATGGACTGGCTTTTATTTTTAGGTGTTGGGAACAGAACTGGCACCAGGAGAAGGTACATGTGCAGATTGGTTGTAGTGGTGTCTCTGCCAGTGTCTCAGAGGGCAGGGCTTTCTGTGCAGGTTTGCTGGGGGGCGGGCAGGGGGCTCCCCCAGGCTGCCGGTGCGGAGCGTGTCGCTGCAGGGCTGCCCTGCTCTGCTCCCTGGGCAGGACAGTGCTCCTGAGGAGGTGCCTTTCTCAGCAAGAACCAAGTGTTCCTTCCCTGTAAAGCAGTTGCCTTTGGTTTGCACCTTCTTTACTTGGGCCTTGTTCCCCATGCAGCAGTTTCAGGCAAGCACAATGTGTCTTTCAACCCACTGGCAAATCTCAGCTGGATTTGGATCCGGTTGGATTTCAGAAGTCATCACCAGACTAAATTCCTACCTGTTCTGTTGAGCAGCTTCTGAGAGCTCTGGCTTGGGCTCCTTAGGGCAGTCTGGCTGCAGGGAGTGAGTTCAGTGCTGCTGACACTGGGAGAGAACTGGGACAGAGAGATTTGGCTGCAGGAGGAGCTGCCAGCAGTGCTGCCCTGCTGGCCCCCCAGAGCCCTCAGCCTCAGCAGACAGGGCTCCCATAGCTCACCTGCTCACAGCTGCTCCTTCAAATGTCTCCTGCAGTAACTGCAGCAAATGGGCTTTTATGTAGCAAGATACTTATTGAAAAGAGCTGAAAGTGAAACCTGGTCTCTTTTGTCCCTTTGTTTTGGGGTTTAATGGAATGTTGTGCTGTGTACCCAGCAGTGCTGCCCTGCTGGCCTGCCCTGCCCTGCCTCTCCCTGGCACCAGCAGGCCAGGCCCTGGCTCTGCACCCATGGGGACAGAGGTGGTAGCACAGGCAGGTGCCTGGTCTGTGGCTGTCCTGGGGTTCTGCAAGGAGGTGGGTTGTCTGCTCTGCACTCCCAGGAGGCAGCCTTGGCCTTTCCCTGAGGAGCTGAGGGAAGGGGAAGCTAAAAATTATATAGTTGGTTGGTTGGTTCCCCTCTCTAAAAGAATGGTGACATTAAGCTTTGCAGTAAAATACAAGATGACCCCACGGCCATGTCTTTGCTGTGCAGCCTGTGGAACTGCCTTTGGTTTCTGAGGTTGGAGAACCTGACCCTGCAGGGCCATGAGGAGGCCCATTGAAATGCCAGGGGGTGCCAGGGCTCCCCAGTGCTGCCCAATTTGCTGCAGGGCTCACACTGCCTGCACCACAGGATGGCTCCACTCCCTCTTTTTTATCAAATCATGGGGTGCCAAACCCCAGCTGCCAGTCCTGAGTTATTAATAAAGCATAAAAACTGCACAGGTTTTTTTTCTCCTGATCAGAGGAACCAGCCTAGCAGCTTATTGTCATTTCTCTAAGAAACCAACAGAAAGAGGTTAAAAACCAAATGTCATGATCTCGTGCAGATATTGACATTCCAAAGACATGCAGCCCTTCCAGCATGGGCTGCTCTGAAGAAAGAAATGCTGATGTGAGTGTAAATGATAGAAATGGAGTAGAGGACCATCCTGTTTATCCTTTGCTAAAGGGTTCAGCAAACAAACCCTCAGCTCATCTTCTGCTCAGGATTGCCAGGAACAATTCAGTCTGTAGCAAATACCTCTTTTGCAAGACAAGATTCCAATAACTATGGTAATTTTTAAGGAAACCTTATCTCAGCTATGAGGTAGATAAAGACCATTTGTCATTCTGGAGACAGTTCTGTGATGATATGGGGGAGATGAACAGCTCCTGTTTCATGCACTGTCTGTGCCTTTTTCCTCAGCATCTCCTAAAGCAGCTCCAGGCTTCCTTGCTCACCTAACCCAGCTCTTTCAGTGGTGTCTTTTACTTAAAGGAGAGACTCTTAAATGAATCCAGCTCCCAGCTGCTGCTCCAATGCTGCACTCTTGTCCTTGCAGAAGGGGCCACCTACCCCTGGCTCTGTGCAGGGCTGCTCTCAGGTGTGTAACACAACACTGGTAGGTGGTGAGCTGCAGGGAGCTGTGCAGGGGCACAGGCCAACTCTGGGGGGTGGGTCATGGCATCTCTGGCCACCTCACCAGGAGTTGTTTCAGCTGGATCTAAACCAGATCTTTGCAGAGGTGTCCTGTGTGCAGAGACAGTTCCATCTGCACAGATCCTCTCGGGGGGTGAGAGCAGTTCCCTGTCAGAGGGGCCTGTCCTGATCTATGAATCACCCTTGACTGGTGAAGAGGAAGAGCAGCAGCAGATGGGGATCCCTCAAACTATCACAGTCAATCCTCCAACGTGGGCTTTCCCTAGATCCTACAGCAGCACGGGGGGTGTTGGGACACTCACTCACTTCTGTTTCCAGCGGCTCTTTCTGGATGCCACTCTGGCTTCCTTGGGGGCTCCAGAATTTCTCCAAAGAAAGGTCTGACCTCCTGCCCCACTCCAAAACCTGAGGTTTATTGCCTGCACTTCTGGCCCCAGGCTTTGAGCCCATCAGTGGCTTGTGAAGTTCTTCACAACCACCTCTCACCTGTGACAGATCAAAGTGTAAAGGGACCATATGTCTGGCCTTCCTTGGCAGATGCCAAGAAGACACATCACCCAGTCACACCTGAAGAAACAGCCCTTCTCCTCTTTGCTGAATGACTCAACAGCTCAGACCATCTGGTTCATTCAAAAACTTGGATTTCATGAGCTTCATTAGCTGCTCCCTCACCCTTGACAAGACCCTCAGGGTTAGTCAGTAGGAACTCACTCTTGATTTCCTGCTTCTTAACACCAAGTGACGTTTCATTGCAGTCAGTAAAGGCCTGTTTTGGGGCTGCCCAACATTCAGAGCTGCATTTATAGTCCCCTCCCTCCTCTTTGGAGGCAGCTCTGCAGGGCAAGAGGCTCTGCTCATGAGGCATTTTGACCTGCTGGTGTGAAGGGTCCCAGCTGGCTCAGGAGACCCTTGCAGAGGCAGCCCATGCTCTGTCCCTCATCCTGATGGGCAGGACCTACACCAGGGGAGAGCAGGAGCTGCTTTGTGCTGCCTAGAAATGACACCCCAGACCTGGATCCCAACCCAAGGTCCCTGCTCCCTTTGGTGGTTCCCAGCACACATGCTTAGCTTTTCAGCAGTTCCCAAAATAAGGGTCACTTGGTGTTCACACACCACAACACTTGGGCAGGTCACTCAGATGTCCTTGTGCCTCAGCTGGCCTGTCCCTCCCTGGATTGAAAATCCAATTTCTGAATCCAACCCAACAATGTAAATCTCACCCTTGTAGCCACCTTCAGCCATCTAGAGTGAAGCCACCACCCTAGCAGGGAGGTGAGGATACCCACCTGCCCATACCAGACCTCTCCTCCAGCAGTACCAGCAGCAGTACCAGCAGCAGTACCAGCAGCAGTACCAGCAGCAGTACCAGCAGCACCCCTGTCTCTCCACCAACACCAGCCAGAGCAGCCATGACACAGGGGCTTGGAATTCCTCAAACCCCACCTTGACCTCCCAAACTGACTTCCAGGCCCTGAAACACTGTGTTACTACTACATCTTCATAGACTCATGGAATGGATTGAGTTGGACCATCCAGTCCCAATCCCCTGCATGGGCAGGGACACCTCCCACCAGCCCAGGTTGCTCCAAGCCCCATCCAACCTGCCCTTCAACACTGCCAGGGATGGGGCAGCCACAGCTTCCCTGGGCAACCTTCTTTCTAAAGGGAAGGAAAACTGCTCCAAGACACAGGAGAACTCAGCACCTGAAGAACTGTAATTCCATCATTTATTCCCCTTTCTATTATCAGAAGGATGATGGCAAAAAGCAAACAAATCCAACAGGCTCCCCTGCCCCAAGGGGCTCCCAGAGGGTCAGCACCAGGGGACAGGGAGAAGCTGCAGAGAAACCCTTCTGACCCAACTCAATATGGTTTTGACCACGCTGGGGAATGGGACTAACTTCTTTCTCCTCCAGCTGTCTGGCCTGACAACTGACTTCATTTGGAGTCCAGTTTCTCTCTTCATCTCCTGAGCAAGGAATATTGGAAGGAATGATGGTTTACAGCCTATATATGGAGCACAAGGATGTAGAACCCAAGCAAAACCAACAGCCTGGGCAAGGAATGTTATCTAAGTGGCAAAACTGGGCTGGTGGCAGCTCAGGAAGGGCAATCATGCCAGCACAGGCTGCAGGAGCCTTCCCTTCTGAGGGGGGGGCTGGTGAAGCCAACCTAGAGTAGCCAGCTCTTCAGTCGTCCCCAGAGGAAAGATCTCCCTGGCAACTGATTTTTCTGGTGTAGGTTCAGCTCTTCCAAGCAAAACCCAACCCCCTCCTCCACTCTCTGCCTGGTCCCCTGGTTTGTCACAGGGAGTCATGGGGGTTTGCAGCAACCAGCTGGTGCAAGAAGGGAAGCACCTTGTGTCCCTGGGCTCTCAGGGCTGCAGAGCTCCCTGTTAAAACACCACAGTGTCAGCAGGTATCATGACCACCTGCTTGGTGCTAAAATTGGCTTTTTACAAGACAATCTTGAGACTTTTCAGGATGTAATTTAGATATTGGTTCCCTGTAACGAGAGCAAACACTGAGCAGGCTCATCTCCCTGGGGACAGTCACCCACTCTGTGCAAGACAGATGCCCAGCCCATCTGCTCCAGGACAGGCAGCCTTCTCAGCTGCAAGTTGCATGAGGACATGTGGGATATTTCCCCCTCTCACATATTGAAAATAAGTCCAAGAGAAAGATGGCATGAGGCCAAAGGAACCATCAGGTTTTTCCAGGCAGAACTCCAAGAATGACAGAGATATTTCACTTACCTGGACAACTGGAGAAGGAAGTGGTGCTAACAGAAGTGGCACCAGACTGGCACAGCACTTCTGGAAGTTACAGCTGCATCATCAGGAGGAACAAAATCATGAAGCTGTGCCAGCTGCTCTCCAGCTCCCACCTATTCCTTCCCAGCAGCACAAGGTGCTTCCCTCCAGCTTGAATCACTTGGTTGCCTTCTCTGCCCTAATGTTAGAGGAGAATAAATCAAGGGAACTCAAAACATGCTCTTCCCTTTTCTCCCACTTTTTCCCTGGCCCTGCTCACACACTAAGCTCAGCCTGGGGGTCTCAGTCTAGACTTGTTCTGACTGACATTTTTAACAGGCCAATTTCTGGCAAAACATGGAATTGGGAAGATAAGAGAAGGACATGATTGGAGTTAATTAGCCCAGCAAGCAATCTTTTCCCAGGTGGGGGCTGGAAGGCCCAGTCCAGCCTCTCCCCACAGCCAGAGGCTGCCAGTGTGAGCCTTGGCCTCTCAAACCCTCCAGGTGACAAGAGGGACTTCTGAGAAGCCCCTGCAGGTGTCAGACATTCTACAAACCAGCACCAGGGTGACCAGCAGCCAGGAATAAAGGATTTTATCTGAACCTTTCTAGGAGGATTTTGATCCTCAGCTTACTGCAAACCTTTAATCCCAGTTCATCACCTCCAGCAGAACTGACTGAGTCAAGAATTCTTGTTTTCTTCCTCCAAAGACAACAGCCAGTACCACTACAGAAGTCTGTACACTTATGTTTATCCTTGCAGATATTACTATCAAGGTGACACGTGGAAAAAGAGAGTCCCAACTACAGAGCAAAGCAGTTTGGGGATTCTGTTTTAAAGGCTTCTAAGCATTTAGGAAAGGTGTTTGTGATCTGGACACTAACACACGTTCCTGTGAGAAGCTTCTGTACCTGCTCCATTCCTCTCCTCCCCAGCTCCCTGTGCTTCAGAGCTGTTGGTGGGCAGGGCACACTGCCACACAGCCATTTAGGAAATGGATTTGTAGGGAGAAAACCATTCCAAGTTATTTCAGCCCACTCTCTCCTGAAGTGGCACTGGGGGCTCAACCCTCAGCTCAGGACTCAAGTCTTCCCTGTGGAAAGAACCATGTTGGTAATTCAGCTTCTGTGACATGGCAGCAGCTCCTTCCCACCTGCACCTGAGAACCAGGAACAGCCTCTTCTGTCCCTGCAGGCAGGATGGTTCCTGGGACATGCTGGACCAGCTCCTTCCCCTCACCCCAGACTCTACCCTGTCCTACCTCAGTCCTGCACCAGTTCCCACCAGTAGACAGGTTGGGAAAACAGCCTGTGGAGTTTTTCAGGTAGATGAGGCTACTGGGATGGGCAGGGCAACAGCAGGATGTCAGCAGGGCAGCTGCATGGAGGGACAGTGGGAGGACTCCCAGGCTCAGCTTCAGAGTTGGGCTGAAAATGCTGAAGCTCCACGTTCACTCCGAGGCCCTGACTTCACCAAGTACCTTTTGAAAGAACAGAATCATCTTGATAATCAATCCTTCCACAACAGGAAATGAAAACCAAAACCTCCACAAAACCAACCCCTTTCTTTCCATCTCCACATCCTGAGATTCTTCACATCTGATCTATGGAAGTGCTTCTGTCTCCTGCCTTGCTGTCAATTAAGGCAATTACTCCTTTGCTGTTTATCACTGATGAGCAGCAATGGGGTTTATAGCAAACACTCCAGTGGAACTCCAACCTGTAATTCAAAGACTGATCAATGGAGTAAATTTGTCATACATCTTCAATTCCATGATGTGCTCAGTGAGAGAGAAGAACTGAATGAAGATAAACAGACCTTTTATAAAAAGATTTATTAAAAATAACTTCTTCAAAGAGAAAAAGGGTGACATGTATATACATCAAATTGTCCAAAACTTTATGGGGCTTTTAACACAAAGTGTGTTCCAAACTGAACAAGAGACACCAACTTGCCTTTGTTTTAGCATGCCAGGCTGATGGGAACATAAGAGCACATGGGGAGAGGAAAACCAACACTTAACACACCACCATGACAAGCCAGATTATGACAGTGAGGAGGACTGGTAGAGATGGAACTCAGTGATCAGCTAACTACAGACAGAAACCAAGAGTTTATAACTAGTCTTCAGTTGATGCAGTTTATCTGGTGCTTGCTGCCTTCAGGTTAGTTCTTCATTCCTACTGAGAAGTAACAGATCTTGGCAAGTGGGGTTGTGTTCTGTAAGGACAGAAGTATTCTGGGGACAACAACACACCACCCCAAACCAGGTAAGCAAATGCATCTTTTTCCAGCTCAACTGCAGAAGAGACCAAACATTTCTTCTTAGGAAGTTACAGAACTGCTGCCTTTCTCCAATTCCTTGCCACCTCCCTGACAGCCAGAGCCACAAACATCATTTTTCTTACAATGATCTTATTTTACAAAGAGCGATTTGCACAAAAAAAAGTGACCTGACAAACCAACACCTGATTCTGAATGCTTCAGGTGCCCTCATGGAGACCATATTTCAAACTGTCTCCCTTCAGTTGTGTCTTCTGAAGATGCCCCAGGCTCTGTGCATGTATCTACAGCTGGCTGGGAAATTCAGAATGACCAATGTCTGCTCATCCTCATCCTCACAGCAACTCTCCCTCCTCACAGACGGATCAGCACATACCTTTAGATCTTCATCCTCTTTAGTCCCACAGTTTAATAAGACCATCCCAGCCACAGGTGATGACTTTGGAGGTTTCATGTGGATGCCACACTGCACCAATACAGACTTTGTCATGTGCTTTTAATCTGCTGTAGAGTTTTGTTGTCTTCCAGTCCCAGATGTTCAGCTTCCCGTCGGCGTCTCCAGATATCACGTAGCTGTAGTGATGGGAGGGAAAGAAAAGCTGGGTCATGGGTGAAGGCTGCTTGGGGTGTGATGCTTTTGCCCTGAGTGAGGGAAAGGAGCTTCACCCAGTGAGCTGTGTGCCTGAGAACCTGCAGAGACACCTACCCAAGAGCTAGAATTCACACT